TTAGCTTAATTGCTCGTTTAACCATGCCATATATTTCTCTAATGACACTGCTTCGATTACAATCGGCATAAATCCATGGTTTACACCACAAATTTCTGAACATTGTCCATAGAACAATCCTTCTCTGTTAATGAAAGTAGAAGTTTGGTTCAATCTTCCTGGAATTGCATCAAGTTTAAGTCCTAAGGCTGGGATTGCAAAAGAGTGAATTACATCACTACCAGTTAAAATAAATCTTACATGAGTATCTACAGGTAATACTACTCTGTTATCTACTTCAAGTAATCTAAATTGACCTTCTTCTAAATCAGCTTCAGGAACCATGAAACTATCAAAAGCTATTGGTTCTCCTGAATCTGAAATATAATCAGAATATTCATAACTCCAGAACCATTGAGAACCTACAGCTTTAACAGTGATAGCAGGATCTATTACTTCATCCATAAGGTATAATAATCTAAAGCTTGGAAAAGCAATAGCTACTAATACTAATGCTGGAGTAACTGTCCAGATTAATTCTATTACTGTACCGTGTGTAAAATATTTGTATACGATAGGGTTAGTTTTAGTGTTGAATTTAAGTATAATTGTACCTAACATCCAAGATACTCCGATTACAATAATTACTAAATAAAACATGATTTGATCATGAAGATCTACAATTCCATCAAAAGAAGGTGATGCACCATCTTGGAAAGATAATTGCCAAGGTTCTGCTACATCTAAGAAAACAGTAGGTAAGTTAAAAATTTTTGATAACATTTTAAAAAAAAAAGAATTTCGTACAACAAAAATAAATTTAATAATTAATTATATATAATATTTATAGCCACTTTGAACCAAGTAAGGAACCAATAATATAGGAGGTGTATATTTGCCCGGTCCTGGACCGACCCTTGATTTAAATTATACAGACTCCCGTTTCCGAGTTTTTAATTTTTTATATATTTAATAAAATAAAGGATTTTTTTTTGTAATATGAATTAGGTAATTATATTTATAGAAATCTTAAAGAAGAGATGGAAAAATAGAATCATTAGCTATAACTAAATCAGAAAATGATCTTCAAAAATTAATTAAATATAAAACACTTGAAAGATTCTTAGATTCATTTATTCTTACTAAACTGTATAAAAATGATATATTACAAGATAGTCCAATAAATTCAACATATTTAATGAGTAAGAATGTATTTCCTAGAACCATTGATTCTATTGATATCGTTAGTATTGATATTGTTGATATAGAATCTACCACTATGGATTCTAATGAAATACCAACTACCCGAAAAACTTTTGTTATTGATGTATTTCTTATGGAAACTACTATATTTAAATCAAGCATAATCTGGTATTCTTCTAGACATACCCGCTAATCCTAAGAAATGTTGAGGCATGAATGTTAAATTTACACCTATTGATAATGACCAGAAATGTATTTGTCCTAAACATTGGGTTTTTATCTCTGATATTGTTAATTCGTATTAATTCTTTAGAATCTTCACTATGTTTAAAACCTAAACGTGAATAAGCCGTAGGATTAATGTTATAAGGAGGAGTAAGTAAATCTATATAATATTGCTTTCGTAAGATTAAGTCTTTAATATCACAATACTCTAAAATATATAGAGAAAAGTTATCATGAGTATGGTACATAAGAGCTCTTTGTATTAAGAATTTATTTTTTTTAAGATAGGTTGGACTAATATAATAATAAAGACGATGTTTTAAATTAATACTAGATCCTACATAATATTTTTTATTAATATTATTATACCATAAATATACTCCGGATTTACTACAATTCTTATTATAAATTAAATTTTTAGACTTAGCACTATTTAAATAAACTTTTGCAGGTTTATTAGAAATAAGCCATGTTTTAAATTGAATATCTAATTTATTATCTTCATTATTTTTTTCTGTAGAGAAGAAACATGTCTGCCCGAGGAAGGCAGATTTAGCCACAAATGAATTAAAAGTAGCTTTAAAAGTGGTATTTAAAGTTACAGTGTAATTAAGTTTATTTAAATTTGTCATTTTTTTGTAAAATATATCAGCCGGCTGGTTACAGGTTAAATAAATTATTAGGAACAGATTAGTAAAAATATCAAGAAAAAGATAAGGATACAAGCCTTCTTTAATATCTTGAGATAAAATATTTCATGTAAAGTTACATCTCCTCCTTCATTATACTACGAATGAAATGATTAATCTGTAAAGAATAAATTTATTCAAGCAATAAAACCTTAGGGTGGTAAACTAAGGCCTGAAATAGATGGATTTACAATAAAAATTAACCATTTAAATTATAAGAGTAGAAGCTAACGTTATCCTGGTTGACGCAATATTACTTGCATACATAAAGATATAAAATATCAAGGAAGAATCTAATTTTTATCTTAAAATTATCTAATTTGCTGTTTTATCGATTAAACTATTGATAAATTTTATCTTTAATACTAGTCAAAATTTTTACTTTAATACTAGTAAAACTTATTATCTTAATATAAATAATTTATGTTTAATTTTTTAGGGGGGTGTATATCTTAAAAACTTTTATTATATACGTTAGAGGCTTAATTAATATATCTCGAAAGCTTTGATAATACACGGGATTAAAATTGAAAAAGCAATTACAACTGGTAACATGTTACACCAGATTGCTGCCATTAATTGATCATATCGTAATCTTGGGAAACTTGCTCTAATCCAGATTAAAATGAATAATAAAATAGAAGTTTTAAATCCTAATGATAAACCAGTCATTAATCCATTAGATTCAACACCTGGGATTAAATAACCACCTAGGAATAATATTGAAGATAATGTAGATAAGAATACAATAGCTCCATATTCTGCTAAGAAGAAAAATACAAAAGGGAATGCTGAATATTCAGTCATAAATCCTGCTGTTAATTCTGATTCTGATTCTGGTAAATCAAAAGGTGCTCTATTACTTTCAGCTAATATAGCTATTAAGAACATTAAAGCTATAGGAAATAATGGTACTATATACCAAACAGCTTTTTGAGCTTCTATAATTTTAATTAAATTAAATGAACCTACAAAAAAGATTACTAATAAAATTATTAATCCAAAAACTACTTCATAACTTATTAATTGTGCTGTAGCTCTTAAAGAACCTATAAATGAATATTTATTATTTGAGGCCCAACCTGCTAATATAATACCATAAGCTGCTACTGAAGATATAGCTAAAATTGTTACAATACCTAAAGAAAAATCAGCTATTACTAAACCTTTACCATATGGTATAAGAGTCCAAACTAATAAACCACAAACTAAAGAAATCATAGGTGCTAATACAAAAAGTATTTTATCTGTATTTGAAGGTAATACTAATTCTTTAACTAGTAATTTTAAAGCATCTGCGAATGCTTGTAATAACCCATAATATCCTACTTTATTGGGCCCTATTCTTCGTTGCATACTTCCCATTACTTTACGCTCAGCTATAGTAACATAAGCTATAGAACCTAATAAAGGTCCTATTACAATTAATGCTTCTAATAATGAAATTAACATATTAATAATTATTATTTCTTTATCTCTGTTTAAGTCCTTATTACTCTTTTAGGAATATTTTTTTTAGAGACCTTACTTATCATCATATACATTATCTCGGGCAAAGGGAGATTAGCCAAAATTTGCTAGCCGAGATTTTAATGCAGTTACCTTTAATCGAAAAAGGAATATCGCTTTGGAAGAGCACTGGTATACCATTTACCTATAACTGCTTATTTATATACAATAAAAAGCCCCATCCATTCGTAGTTAAGTTTATTAAATAAACTTTGCATTAAACTTTAATTTGGCTTTTGGCGTTCGGACCCGGGTCTTAAAAATATAATGCTTGCAAAGGGATAGTTTTTTAGAGATTACTATAAAAATTATAAGATATAAATTGATACTATAAATATTAAAGTTTACCTATTCGGACCCCGGTCCTAAAAAATTAATTCGAGAGCCCCACGGGGGCCGGGCTTATATTTTATCTCCCACAGGCTTGCAAGAAAGAGTTAAAAAAATAAAATATGCAAAAAAACACTTGAATGGATTTGAACCATTATTACTAAGTTTCGAAGACTCATACTTTTCCAGTTAAGTTACAAGTGCTTAATTAAAAATAAAATTTGCAAAAAATAATAGTTCCTTTGGATATCTAGCCTAGATGGACTTAATCAAACCCTATAAATCCTGTACATAGAATAAGTTATCGTAGAAAAGGAATAAAGCTTGCGGGGGCTGAAGCCTGAAGAAAGGGGCTATAAATAGTATATTATAGATAAGGCGATTATAGTTCAATTGGCAGAACGGTAGATTGTGGATCTATATACCAAGGTTCGAACCCTTGTTTTCGCCCAGACCTAAGCTTATTAATAATAAACTTTGGTCAACCCCTTGGTATTTGAGAGGTAGACCTGCAGGATAATTCAAAGGTTAACTCAAAAAGAAAGAATAACGCTATTCTTAAGGAAACTATTAAAAATTAAAAAATTTATAAATCGACCAGAGGCAATCTTAAGCCCTTATAGGGGATAAAACTGTTATTCAAAGTTATCAAAGCTTATAGATAATAGATAAGGTTTAATTTTTTGAAATAAGTTTTTATTGAAAATTCATTTAGCTTAACTAGATAAAGCACTCGAATGGATTTGAACCATTATTGTTAGACTTAGAAGATCTATACTTTTCCAATTAAGTTACAAGTGCTTATCATTTTTATTTTTATTGGACCAGTCTTGAACATTATTTATAATAAAACTAAAATTTAATATTAAATTCTTTACCATTATGACCTCGACAGGTCCAGAGGGAGGGATATTAAATTATTTATGGTTATAAACCAAAATAAAATAACATATATGTTAATTCCTTAACACAAAATAATAGATAAAATTTAGTCTTTTTGAAGGCTATGAAATTCAAAGATCGGTTCCTCGACCCGGGCATCAAATAAATTAGTAGTTAAGTTAAAGTTATGAAAGAATATTTTAACTTTAAAGCCTTTTATCTTTTACATAAATTTCTTTTTTATTTAAATTATTATTTTATTTAGTTCCCCTGCGAGACTTTTTACAGGATAATTAACCTTTTCTTTCGTTTTAAGTGTAAGACCCTCAGAGAGGTCCAAACAAGATAATTTGATTTTATTTTAATTTTTATTTAATATTAAATATTGTTGAAAGATAACTGCCTGGGAAAGGTTAAATCATCCATGTAGACCTTTTAAGAAATCTACTAACCCATTGATTGGTGATTGACCCTGAGATTTTTATTTATTTGCTCCGAGGATGAATCGAACAACCGTAAAAGGTTTTTCAAACCTCTACTTTACCACTAAGCTATCGGGGCTTTTTTTTTATTTATATAAGGATTTTACAGCCTTACTAAATTTTAAAACAATATTAATATCTTAAAAAATTTTTAACTTAACAATTTTAGAATTTATATCATGGGTTAAATTTTTATATTGAAAAAAAATATAAGTAATAGGGAATAAAATAATAACTATCGGATTTAAGGTCCCAATAAACATAAAAAAAGGATCTATAGTGTGAAGAGTTTTATTACGAATAATTTGCATATTAGAAATAGATTTAATGGAACCATTAAAGTATTTTAATTTAAGTAAAAAAGTGAAAAAAAGATTATTAAAATTAAGGATAATTTTAATGGATGATAGTATAGTCTTATAAATAAAAGATACAGAACCCTCTAAAGAATATATCGAAATAACTAATCATAACTATTATCAACAACTAGATATGAATAATATCTTACGAACGAAATTAAATAAAGCAATAGCATCAGAAATAATGACATATTCAAAAGTTCGAATACATGAATTCAAAGATATATATAGAGATGTTTATTATTCGAATACAGACTCAATAATTACGGGAAATAAATTACCGAATAAATACATTAACAATGATTTAGGATTCATGAAAGATGAATGTAATGATTTGTTAATAAATAAAAGATTATTTATATCATCAAAATTATATGGGTTAAGATTAAGCTCAGATGAAGAAATAATAAATTAAGAGAAATACTAGCAAAAAGATTAACCTTTGAAGATTTAATAAGAATACAAAAAGGTAAAGAAATTAAATTTAAAAGAACTCAATTATTTAAATCATTGAATAATTTATCGATATTCGAGAAAAAAATAGATAAAATTGTTAAACAGGTAATATCACAAGAGAAAATACCTATTTATGGGAAGATGGATTAATTATAAGTTATAAAGATATTCATAGAACTGTATTAATAACTATAAGAGAAAATCTATTAAGTCAAAAAATGTCTCACAGAGTAAATAAATTAATAGAAAATATAAAGAAAATATTAAATCGTAAAGGTGAATAGGTAAAGGGACTATTTTATACAAATTGTATGTTAACACCCAACAAAGATGTAGGAAAAGGCAAATAAAGATGTAGGAAGAGGCAAATAAAGATGTAGGAAAAGGCAAATAAAGATGTAGTAATTATCTCAATAAATTCCTTATTTATGTATCCTGCAAATACAATAAATATGAAAGTGGCACAAAAAATATCTATATTGTCTATGATATTCTGAAATTAAAAACATTTTTATAAAGATTTTATTAAATATCTTTATGTTAATTTATTAAAGGGGGGTGTTAAACTATTTAGTTGTTTTAGTTCCTAAATCGAATAACGTGTTTTCTATAATTCCTACTACTGGTAAGATTACTAAGAAGTAAGAGAAATAGAATACTGTAGAAACTTGTCCAATTTCTACTAATGGGCTTTCTGGATGGTTTGCACCAATCCAACCTAAGATTAAGAAATTAGCAACGAATAACCAGAAGAAGAATTTCATGATTGGTCTGAATTGCATAGATCTAATTCTAGATGTATCTAAGAAAGGTGTTGCTAATAGGATTAAAATAGCTGCCACCATTCCGATAACCCCAAGTAATTTATGAGGTATTGATCGTAATATTGCATAGAATGGAAGTAAATAGAATTCTGGTACAATTGAGATAGGTGTTACTAATGGATTTGCTGGGATATAGTTATCACTTTCTCCAAAGAAATTTGGATTAAAGAATACAAAATATGCAAATAAAAAGAAGAAAACAAAAAGACCTACTAAATCTTTGAAAGTATAGTAAGGGTGAAATCTTATTCTATCTACATTTGAAGTAATTCCTAATGGATTGTTTGATCCATGCTCGTGTAAAGCTATAAGATGCATTATTACTAAAGCAGCTAATATAAATGGTAATAAATAATGTAAACTAAAGAATCGGTTTAAAGTAGGGTTACCTACAGAAAAACCTCCCCATAAGAATTCTACAAAATCATTTCCAATCCACGGTATTGCTGACATTAAATTAGTAATTACTGTAGCTCCCCAGAAAGACATTTGTCCATAAGGAAGTACATAACCTAGGAATCCTGTTATTATTAATAATAAGAAGATAATTACACCTATTGACCATAACATTACTCTAGGTGCTTTATATGATCCGTAATATAATCCTTTAGCCATATGGATATATATGAAAATAAAGAAAAATGCAGCTCCATTTGCATGGAAATATCTTATCATCCAACCATAATTTACATCTCTCATAATATGTTCAACACTAATAAAAGCTAAATCTACATGTGGTACATAATGCATTGCTAATGTAACACCTGTAGCGATTTGAATTACTAATACAACACCAAGAAGACTACCATAATTCCATAAATATGAAATATTTGAAGGAGATGGTGAATCTATTACATAACTATTAACTAAACTTAAAAATGGATGGGTTTTTAAAAGTTTCAAAATATTTTTATTTTTTTATATTCCTTAATTTATCATTTTTTTATTATAAAATAATAAAAAATTATGTTATATTAAAACAAAAAATAAAAAAAGGTATACCCCTTTACGGAAGTATATTGTTTTTATAATTTTTATTTCCCGGTCCCCCGCAGGCTTATGAGGGAAAAGAAGAAAACTTTATGCAAAACAATAAAAACAAAATTAGTTTTTAATTTAAGGCTATTTTAGTCACTTCAGACAGTAATATATAATTACTCTGGGTTTAATATTTAACTAAATGAGTACTCTAACAAATTTAAAGCATATAATAATTATATCTGAACGTTAATAATAAACCCACAAGACTTATAATTAGATAACTATAAGAATATAGATAAAATTATCATTCGTGTTTAATCCGTATCTTTATAGAAAGGATATAGCTTTATTTATAAAATTAGAGATTTTAATAACATACAATTTTGTATGTTATATTATATAATATACCTTAGTATAAAGGTAAATGTAAATTAAGACAAGGAAGAGTCGAACTTCCATCGTGTCCGTTATGAGCAGAAAGCTTTACGTTAAGCTATTGTCTTATTAATATATTAACTTATGAATAGTCATAAGTTACTTAAATTATTTTCCTTTCCTTCCCTATAAAATTTTGAAAGAATAGGAAAATTATTGAGGAGTTTTTTGATAAAAAATTAGTTTCCGATCAATAAACCGAATGCATCCTTAAATCCCTTCCCTATCATAAGCTTGTAGGGAGGATGGAAAGTCAAACCCTAAGGGTTTGGAAAATGGGGGGAGTTTGTCTTGATTGTAAAATGACGAGAAGAAATTAAGAATAAAGAAGAAATAAACACTAATAATAATCTAGCATCATCTAAATATAATATTGAAGCTGTTAATGTAATAACAGACATGATTATATACAATGCTAAGTTAGGGATATATCCGCTATCTGCACTTGCTATAGTTTTACTAGTATTTGAGAAAAGATTAGTAAGCCCTGTAGGTCCTACTAATTCAAGAGTACCTCTATCTATTGTTTTATGAGTAAGATAACCTAAGTTTAAGATTAAAGCAACTATACGAGAATAAACTAAATCAAAGAAATATTTTTGATTTAAGAATGTGTATAGAGTTCTACCAAATTTAGACAATTTAATTTCAACTAGGATATTTGGTACAAATTCATAGAATAATAATGTACCAATAAACCCACAAATAGTTAAAATAGATGGTAATAATTTTATGAATAATGGAATTGCAAACTCTGCATCAATTAATATAATATTATTTGGATGGATGAATACAGCATTCCCGAAGAAATCGCTACCCATTCCAATAAATAAGTCTTTAGATAAATAACCAAAAATTACTGATAATACAGCTAATATACCTAAAGGTATTGCCATGAAGAAAGGTGCTTCATGAGTATTTTCATAATTATTTCTAGTACCGTTAGGAATAGAGAAGAAAGTTAAATATAAAAGTCTTGTCGTATAAATAGAAGTAAAGAATGCTGCAAGAGTTGTTAACCAATAAGCAAAAGATCCTTGGAATGTATATTGTCCATAACCTGATAAGATGATTATCTCTTTAGAATAGAAACCTGATAAGAATGGGAAAGCAATATTACTTAAAGCAGCAATAAACATTACTACAAAAGTAAATGGTAATAATTTAGCTAAACCTCCCATTCGTCTTACGTCTTGTTCATCTGCCATAGCATGAATTACAGATCCAGCAGCTAAGAATAATAATGCTTTAAAGAAAGCATGATTAATAATATGATAAAAAGCTATATTATATTGACTTAAACCACATACTGCACCTAAATATCCTAATTGACTAGCTGTTGAATAAGCAATTATTCGTTTAAGATCATTTTGTACTAATCCAATAGAAGCAAAAACAAATGCTGATAATGAACCTAAACATGTAATTACTATTAATGCTGTACTACTATATTCTAATAATGGTGAAGTTCTTATCATTAAGAAAATTCCAGCTGTTACCATAGTAGCACTATGAATTAAAGCTGAAACTGGTGTAGGACCCTCCATGGCAGTAGGTAACCAAGCATGAAGACCTAATTGAGCTGATTTAGCCATAACACCAATTAATATACATAAACAAATAAATGTTAAAATATCAGTATTAATATATGGAGCTAAAGAAAATAAGTTAGAAAAATCTAAATTTCCAAATACAAAAATAATTGCAAAAAGAGCAATAGACATTCCCCAATCACCTACTTTATTAGTAACTATAGCTTGTATTGCTGATTTAGTAGCAGCTATTCTTGTAAACCAGAAACTAATTAGTAAATAAGAACATACTCCTACACCTTCCCAACCTACAAATAATACTAATAAATTATCTCCACACACTAATAATAACATACAAAAAGTAAAAGCTGATAAATAACTAAAAAATCTTTGTGTATGAGGATCAGCTCCCATATATCCTATTGAGTACATATGTACTAAAGAAGAGATAAACACAATAGGAATAAGCATAGATACAGTTAAACTATCGAATGTAAATCCCCATTTTACTAAAAAGTACTCAGAGTCTATCCAGCTAAATAAATCTACTGACACGCTCGATTGGTTCAGACCTACTTCATAAAACGCTGTAAAAGATAATAAACACGTAACTATAAGCCCGAAAGTAGTAATGAATTGACTACCTTGAGCCCCTAATTTACGTCCAAACAATCCAGCAAAAATTGAACCTACTAAAGGTATTAAAATTATTGATAAATACATTGTAACGTGTAAAAAAAAATTCCTCTTTATTTATAAAACGCTATAAAGAATAAAATATAAAATCTTATTCTTTTAATTGAATAGATAGAATCCATTCATTTTTAAATAGTTTTCCATTTCTAGCATATTTTAATATACTTTCTTTGGAAACATCAAAATGTTTTTAGTCCTATTATTAGAAGAATATAGGATCTGAAAATCAGAGAGTTACCACATTCAACCTTCCTTGTTCCTCGGAGTTTAGGATACCTCTAACAAGTAATTTGCAGCATCAGAGGTTGCTGTTTCCTGCCATATAAAGAATAAAAAATTACATTTATAAATGGGCATCTAATTGTCATCCCTAATGCACCTAGTCGCTTTTCAAGTGATCCAGCTTAACCGGATTCGGTAGGAGTTAAGAGACTAATACCATTTACCTGCAATCAATGCTCCACAGGTAAAGGAAAGAGAGAAATAGAATTATTTAATTCGAATAGAATTATTTAATCCGAATTGACCCTCTTAATCTGTAGAAGGCGATTACTATTCCTAAACCAATTGCTGATTCAGCTCCAGCTATAGCAATAATATATATTGCATATAATTCACCCATAATATCATCAAAGGCAAAAGATGAAATAAGAATCATAAATGTTACAGCTAATAACATTAATTCAATAGAAATTATTAATAAAATAATGTTTTTACGATTCAAGATGAACCCTAAAATTCCTATTAAAAACAAAGTAATTGATAAATTCATTTTTTTTTATATAAAATTTTTATTCCCAAATGTTAAAAACAAAAGTCTACGAAGCTTTGTTATGAATCTTTATATTTCCATACAAAACTCCGATTACATTTATACTTATTTATTTGACACACTTTATAGTTTTATTAAAAAAAGACTTATATAATAATTCTATTTTAAAAATTCTATAATTAAATATTATTAATTAAATAATATTAAATAAAATAATATTATTTTATTTAATATTATGTTATATTTTTGTCTGATTCTTCAAAATAAAAAAAAAGGACCCTTTTCCGCAAGCTTACGAAGGTCCAAACAGAAAAATTTTATTTAATAAGTAATTACAAAAACTTTCTATCTTTGACCGGATAGATCCACTGTTTATTTTCTTTTTTATAAAAAAACCTCCGAAACGGATGCGAACAAATAGAAAAATAAACAAAATAAATTAAATTTTCATCCTTTATCTATTCGATTTCACAAAGAAGAACTTATTTAGAGAAATTTAAATAATAACCTATTGTGAAACTCGAACTCATATGCTAAAAAGCAACTGATTTTAATTCAACATCTTTGTAAAGTATAATATATATTTAAATTTTGGTTAATTCTTCCCTGCGAGCCAACCCGTATCCTGATCTTTTTTTTAATTTTACCTATTGTGAGACTCGAACTCACACGCTAAAAAGCAATTGATTTTAATTCAACATCGTATACCAATTTCGACAAATAGGTTTATTTATTTATAAAATTAAAATAAAAAAAGACCGGAGAAGTTTAAATTATTATAAAAAAATAATTTTAAATAGTCTCCCCTCTGTGGTCCCCTTTATTTTATACTCTCTGGGGACGACCTTTTTTATTTAAAATATTTGAGCCGGGGGACCTCTGCAAAAATGCGGAGGTGGGGGCCCCGGATAATTTAAAAAATTAAAAATTGGTAGCCCGGAGGTCTGCCCTAGAAAAGCGAGGGTTAACCATCCTCTTTAAGGAAGGTCTATTTTTATATATATAAATATAAAAACTGGGACCTATTATAAATATTTTCGGGTCGGTCAGAATCGAACTAACTAGTTTTTAAACCCAATTTAAACGCCAAACCTTTAGGCTTCGACCCGTTTATATATAACATAATAATACCCTCCCTCCTCCCCCCCCGCAAGCTTGCGGTGGGCCTAAAATCTGTTACAATTTTAGCTTTAAAATATTCTATACAAACAATAATAAGAAAATGTTAAATAAGTTAATTGTCCAGGGGGGGTTAAATCACCCACGTAAAGCCTTTTAAGCATCTACCAACCCATTGATTGGTAATTGACTCTGAGATTTTTATTTATTTGATTAATTAATCATGTTTTTATTTAGTTTAATTTTTGATAGAAAATATTAACCTATAATAATTAACTCAGTTTATTTAAAATAATATTTAGTTAAACAAATAATTAAAACTCCCTTTATTGTTATGGTAGCCAATTACGTTTATACCATAGTAAGAATAACATTTATTTTAAATAGTAAGATTAATTTAATAAACTTAGCTAATTAATCAGTGTCGAGTTTTAATAACTAGTCTGTAAAATATACTTATAGAGATTTCTGTAAAATATACTTATAGAGACTTCTGAAAAAATAATTATCCAACATTCCGGAGGAAACTTATTAGGAGTTTTGGAGGTTAATAAACCACCTTCGGAATGGTCCCTAATGGGACTTTTTGGATAATTTTATTAATAAACGGAAGAAGAGGGATTCGAACCCACAAAGAGGAATCTCTAAGGATTTAGCAAATACTTTGTCTTGCCCATGACGATCCTTCCAAAAATACTTATGTTTTCCTTTTTAGGGGGTCTTGATAAATTAATCAAATTAAATTAGCTTATAAAATCAGTTTTTAACCTAGTTAACTAGAAACGAGTTTATTGGGAATTCAATCGGCTTATTATAATTTGGTCTCCGACATTTTATTTGTTTGACTAAGGGTTTAATAATAAATTGATCAATAAGTTTCCTCAGGAAGGGATATATTCCGAGGGAAAATCTTTTTGGAACTTTATTTTCTGGGTTCGGTAGATTCGAACTACCAATCTCTTAAGTCAAATTTAAGTGTCCTGCCAGATTAGACTAGAACCCATCTAATATATTATAATTATATAAGTTTATGGCCAATAAAATAATTTATTTTACCTGACGACCCAATAAAGTGGGGGAAGTATGTCCGGACATACTAAATATAAGACCTAGTCTTATAATAAAAGGGTAAAAAGATTAAAACTTTTTAAAAAGTTCAAGTCTTGTATAATTTAACCATAAAGTGTGTCAAATAAATAAGTATAATATTAAAATAATTCTAACATATTCCGTAGTCGGCGGTATATTTTATTAAAGTCTAGGCCTTCCAAGCCTTAACCTCTTCCCCTCGACAGGTCTATAATAGATGATTAATATTAATTTGGGAACAAAAAAATACATAGAAATTTTAATGAAAAATACAATTATATTATTTAATAAAAATTTACCGTATCAACCGGTAATTATTTATAATAACGCAGATACAGAGAGATTACAAATTTTAAAAGATAACAAGGGAAAAAGTGGTTTATATCTGTGGACTCATAGAGAAACAGGTAAAAGATATGTAGGATCAGCAGTGGACCTATCTAAACGGTTAAAAAATTATTATTCTCCTTTAAAATTAAAACGAGCGGATAATTATATAGCTAGAGCTCTTCTTTTTCATACTCATTCTGCATTTTCTCTTACAATTATAGAGTTTATCTCAATAAAGGATTTATCTTTAGAGAAAGCACGTGAATTAATACTTGAACGAGAACAGGTTAATATAAATTTACTTAAACCAGAGTACAATATTCTTAAGGTTGCAGGATCCTTATTAGGTTATAAACATACTCAAGAATCCTTAACTAAAATAAGCTTAAGTAATTTAGGTAAAACTCATTCAGTTGAAACTGTAAATAAAATAAAAATAGCTTTAAGAGGCGAAAAAAATCCAATGAGTAAAAATGTATTAGTTTATTCATTTGATTTAGAGACAAAAGATATGGTACTATATAAATCATTTAATACTTGTATAGAAGCAGCGAAATATTTCGATTGTAGTACACGTAATTTATCTAGATATTTAGATAAAAATAAATTATATAAAAAACAATGGATTTTATTATCTTCTTTAGTAAAGGATAATAGTAAAGAATAATAGTAAGGAATAATAATAGGGGTTAATATATTATTAGCGTGGAATCTTTTTAATTTGTTAGTTAATCCCTTTTTAAATTTAAATTATAATAAACTAATACCCCCCTAAACTATATATAATAATAGTTATTATAGTTTAACGGTTAAAACAAAAAATTCATACTTTTTAGATAGAAGTTCAATTCTTCTTAATGACTTTTTTAATTTAAACTTCTCCCCCTTACGGGGGGGGAAGAATTTCTTTTTTTCAAGACTAAAATAATCTTAAGGATTTAAGTACTCTTTTCATTATTATTTATTTCCCGGCCCCGCAAGTTTGCGGGGAAAAAGTTTTGACCCATCAGAAACTCAAACAATACCTAAAAATAAGATTAATATTTCTATTTACAAAGTAGAAAATGAGGAAATTAAAATAAATATATAATATCGTTTTAAGGCTGAATGATCAGTCTTTCTATTTTTATGTTTGAAAGGTATAAATAATAAATAGTCCGGGCCCCCTTAAATTAACTTAACGGTAAAGTGTCTTAAGGGGTTTTAAAAAATTTTAACAGTAGACTATCATTAAGATAAAACTTTTTTATTCTTTCCCGGGCTTTCACAAATTTGCGGGGGATTAAAATTCTAGCCCTCTGGACTCGGATTCGACCGTGAATGGCCCCCTCCGGGTCTAGTATTGTGAATTTTTAGTTAATTTGTTCGAATATAATTAAAAAAAAAATATTAACAAAAAATATAAAAAAATTTCGAGGACTGGCCCGAGGACTCAGGGTTACGAAATATTAAAATTGTTATAGCACAAATATAGGAAGATATATAAATATGTCTAAATAATATAATAATTAATATACAGTATATCTTAATTTGCTTAATGGTTAATTTTAGTAATTAATACCCTTTTTCTTATTTTTTATATTTTATAAGTGACCTTAAAAAAAAATTAAGAATTTTAATAATAATAGGAAATTAGCTTAACGGTAGAGCCATTTGCTTACACCAAATAGGTGATAGTTCAATTCTGTCATTTCCTAATTTTAGATAGTGAAAGTTTAATTCTTTTATTCCCTAAATACTTTTTCTTTCCCTCCACATAAGCTTGTAGGAGCCGGGAAAAAATGATCTGCTATTTTATTTCGAGATTTATACTAGCAACATTAATCCTGTTCGGACCCCTTCGGAGGGTCCTCATTGATTATATCAACATGGATTTAGACCTTTCAAATGAAAAATTGTATTAATCTTTTATTCTTCGCAAGTCAGCGGAAAAAAGATAAAAATACTTTACCAGGAACTTAGGAATATTAAAGGAAAGTCCAGAATACTAAAACTAAGAAAAAAAACTAACTAAGTTAAGTCTTTAAAACAATAATTATCTCCTAAAGATTAGAAATAATATAAAACTATTTTAAATTATTATGCCTCTCCCCAAGCTTGGGGAGAATATTTATCACGTATTTATTATAATTATAACATTTATTCTCGAAATTGATTAAAAATATATTTTTCCTAGCCCCGAAGGGCTAGCTAAATTTATATTTTAATCAACTTTGTATTATCCTATAAGAGAAAAAGTTTATTCATTTTTTAGAAAAAGAGTTTTCCCATAAAGGAGAATGCATTCTCAGGAAAGCTAAAACGTTTTATTTTTCTTAGTTTACCCGGCCGGATTTTTTTTTTGATTATCCGGCTAGCATCTTATAATAGGAAAGTGTTTTTTTAATATTATTCATAATTCTTTAAACTTATGATAAATTTAATATACCTTTCCTGAACAGGGATAATATAATATTTAAATATATCATTAAAAAATTGAGGTACTTTTAAAGAAATCAAATCTTTTTACTGTTTGTACCCCCGGTGGTCCGAGTACTATTTTTTTTTTAAGATTAACATAAATTCTATTCGGACCTTCCCGGGGTCTTTTAAAGTCTAAAGAATGTTAATATAAGACCTATTATAGTTTAGCTCTTTAAGAGTAAGATGAATTCCCCGAGTAATTGGATATAACTTAATTAAAAATATAATATGAGCTAAATATTTTCAAAAGCTTAATGTAATTCATTTTTATTATTAAGTATGTTATGTCATAATTCTTATTAATTCTATAATAAGACTATCCCTCAAAAAGTTACTTTTCTCTTTTTGTCTCCCGCAAGTCTGCGGAAGGCCGAAGAATAAAGAGGGAAAAATTTATATGTCTCCCACAAAAGGGGAGAACGATAAATAATTTGTACTGAATCTGGCTTATAATAATCTAAGAAACTCCCCACTTTACAAACTGATTATTCTTTTTTCAGAAGTCTCTAATAGAGAAGAGGGGTCTTCATATAAATTTATCTAGACTTTACTATAATATCCTTAGGTTATTAAGGATGTGGATAATTTTCATTGTTTTTTGAATAATTTGTTTTTATCTATATATCTAGATAATATATGTTTACTGCACTCAAGATATTTTGCCGCTTCTGTATAATTATCAAAAGATTTATACAATGTAGTTTCATTTGAAAGGGTATTAAAAGAATATATAAACACTTTTTTTTATTATGTGCTAAAGTCCGGGCCCGCTCTGCGGGGCCAGTCCTCTAATTTTATGTTTCTTTGAGAAAAACTTACCGAGCATTCCTCTAGGAGAATTTTCACCCGTTTTACCAAACATAGGATGATTTTTATCTTTTTTAGTTTCACTCATTTTAGTTATCGATTCCTTTCTATGAACGTATCCTAGTAAAGAATCCGCTATTGAAAGTATATTGTATTTAGGACTAAGACTATCTATATAAAACTGCTCACGTTAAAGTATTGATTCACGTGCTTCTTTTTTAGATAAATTCGTAATATCAATATATTCAAGAATTGTTAAAAAAAAAATGCAGAATGAGTATGAAAAACTAAAGCTCTGGAAATAATATTATTATTTTGTTTTAATGCAGCAATTGAATAATAATATTTTAATCGTATAAATAAATTGATTGCAGAACCAATATAAATTTTACCAGACTCTAAATGGATCCATTTATAGATTTCGATTCGATTTTTATTTTCTTTTAAAATCATTAATTTGTTAATATTTGAATTATTATATATTTTACTAAGTTTTATTTTAGTTTCTTCACTATAATTTTACTATATATATTAAATGAATTAAATCCCTAAGAGCATCCGGTTCATTGGGGGTATGAATAGTTTTACTTATTTTTGTTCTATTGATTTCTTCTCCGGTCCCCGTAAGCTTATGTGGAGAGGGAATATTTATAACCTAACAAAGATCTTGTTGTTTTAAGTATATTATAATATATGAGTTTTATTTGATAAAAAATTTTTTTATTAAAAGGACCAATTAGGTTAGTGTATGACTCGAACATACGACCTTAAGTTTTGCAAACCAATACATTACCAATTATGCTAACTAACCTATTATAATTAGGAGATTTATATATATTAGACGAGCCATTTTTTTTTTTATTTCGAGGGCCTGGGCTTTAAAAAAATTATTAATAAATATATATATTTTAGATAAATAAAAACTAAATATATTATAACCGTATTTAAGAAAGTTCTCAAAAAGTTAATTGTTTGTTTTCGACCTAAAAAAAGAGGCTCGAAAACTGTTTGTTTCCCTACTGTTTATTTCCCCTATCTTTTCCCGGCCCCCTGCAAGCTAAGTTTATTTAATAAATTTTGCATTATATTTTTTAGGACAGGGGAGGTCTGAACGCCAAAGGCTGAATTAAAATATAAAATTACGGAGGAGATAGTTAAATAAATATATTTTTTTTTCAATAATTTTTATTGAAAGAAACTGCTCCGGGCTATTTCAGTCCCCCGGGGTATAAACTTTTTAATATAATAACTAAAGGACCCCTCGGGGGAAATCTGAACAAGAATGTTTATTTATTAAGTATAGAATTCCTCTCTTCAAGCTTGCGGGAGGCAGAAACATTATTAATTTAAATTAGATAATTAAAGTACTGTGTAAGGGGGGGGTGTTAATTAATGTATTTTTATTAACTGATGGATTTACAGTACATGAAGAAAGCCAAACTTTTACTGTTGCTGCTCCATTTTTTCCTTTGAAACTAAACTTGCTAGCATCGATTAAAGAAGTGGAAGAACTTAATCTTAGAGTACCAATCGATTTTCTAACTATTCTAGTTCGACTAGCTGCTTTTCGTTGAGATAATCGACCTGATATTTGGATTTTTAAACCCGATAAAAATTGAGGTCTATTAATTAAAGAAGAATATTTAATTAAATCTCTGAAATTAGTAGTATTTATATTGTTATTTCTAACTAACTTAGCTTTTTTAAATAAAGTCCGCATTAGTTTATTAAAATTACCTAATCGGATATTAATAGCTATATATTGTGCTAAAATATAAGAATTTAAATAAGGATAATGAATTCTTACAGGTCTTAATTCAACAGGTTTACCATAAAATCTTGATAATTTTAATATTAATTTAGAATATCCTTTGGCCTCAAGAGGTAATAAATTTTTATTATTAGCTGTAACATCTCCTTGTAAAGATGATTGAATTCTTTTTGATTGCCCATAAGGATTGAATCGTTTTGATACCGGTAAATTTAAAAAATAATAAAAACTAATAACAATTTTATTAGAATCTTTATTAAATTTAGGTTTTGAAATTAAAGCAAATTGAAAATAATGTTTAATAACATTTAAAGCTATTTTATCTACACCCCAATAATTATGCAATTCACTCTTAGAGTTAAAATAATACGAGGTTTCACCCCATTTATTATGTGTTTTTAATCTTAAACTTAAAGGATGTTTACTACCCATTTTTATATATATTTCTCTTTAATCCTAATTTTGTCCATATAAAGATGACTCTTAAAATTCAGTCGTATAAACTAAACTCAAGCAGCTAAAAACCCCGCATGTGAATGCGGAATCGAACCTTTTATATAAAAATTTCTTTATAAATTTTTCTTTTATATATAACATCTTATATATATTAATAATTTATATAAGCCGGATAAACTTCACAATCTAAAATGAAACTGATCCTAATAATAGATTATTAGTTAATTTTAAATAATTTTCGACTCTTAATATAATATATGATAAAATCCATTTTAAATAATTTTCGACTCTTAATATAATATATGATAGTTATATAATTAACATTAAAAAATTCAATAACTTCAAATCCCCAAAAGCTCGATACAATCCTACCTCCAGAAAAGTAATGCAAAGTTTATTAAAATAAACTTAGCTTTACTAGTCCTAAAAAAGGAAAAGCCACCAACAGTACTAATTTTTTTCTAGCTTCTATAAAAAGTGTAGAATCGTACAATTGATGTTTCTTATCAGTTCTACTAAACATAATTTTTTGTTCTTAATGAAAGAATAGTATATATTTATATAAAATATTTTACACTATACTTATTAAAATAAGTATAAAACTTTCTGTAAAAATGTTAACTGTTCGTACCCCAATGGTCCGGGTGCTCTAATTTTAATTTTATTAAAATTAAGTTAATTTTAATTTTTTTAATCTAAATAGATCTCCGAAGAGTTAACTCAAAGGAGTTAACTAAATTACAAAATATTTTGAATAAAGCCAGGACGGACGACGATTTCATTTCTTATAATATTTATTTGCCAGATGCCTGATTCGAACAAGCATATCGATGATTACAAATCATGTATTTTACCAATTGAAATTAATCTGACACAGTAGATAGAAGACTTGAACAATTATTAGGTTAATTGCTTTATCCTTCTTGATTTAAATAAAATTGGATACTTATTTTATTATTATTTATATAATTTTGAATTATGGTAAAAGGACCGCTGAAGGTATTAACGTACTACGTTAATCGTACGGAATAGTTCTCGTCTATTCCTTAAAAATATCTCTAAGTTAACTTTTATGTTCTCCCCCCAAGCTTATAGGGAAAGAAAAATAAATCATTTAATATAATGATAGGAAATAAATATATCATTATAAATTAAAATTAATTAATAATAAATTAAATATTATTAACACCCACTTCTTATATCATTATAAATTAAAATTAATTAATAATAAATTAAATATTATTAACACCCACTTCTTATTTTCCTTATAAGGTCCATAAAATAATTAATATAATAATAATATTAGGGCTCCATGGTCAAATGGTCAAGACATTACTCCTTCACAGTAAAGTTACCGGTTCGATTCCGGTTGGAGTCAAAATAATAACAATTCCTTCACAGTTGAATTACCGATTCAATTCTGATTGAAGTCATATAATATTCCACTTACTATATTATTTATTGAATAAATAATAGGTTAAGAATAATCTCAATCATTTTTTCATTGATTTATAATTAAAAAAATATATAATGCAAAGTTTATTTTAATAAACTTAGCTAACTTTATGGTTTAATAAAAGAATTACGAGGGTCAGCAAGGCCTAGGCTTTAAATAGTATTATTTTCGGAGGACAGGAAGCTGGTAAACATAAAATATTAATTATATATATGTTATAAAGTGTAATTAAATTCTTAAATTGATCTAATGTGACTATAATTTTATAATATATAACTATTACTATTCGGACTCCTCTCCGGGGGTCCTGTTTTTTTAAATAATAAATTTTATAATTTATTTTTTGTACGATAGTAAAATATAGTATTAAGTTATACTAATAATGTAAAATTATTTAAAAATAAATGGATTTTATCAATTTGTTTATTATAGTTATAAGTTTTAATGTTTATAATTAGAATCCCGGACGGGTACTAGTCAATCACCTAACTAATGGGTTGATAGATTCTTTAAAGGATCTACATGGGTGATTTAATCCCTGGGCGATTAATAGTCTTAATATTAATAAATACCCCAAGACTTATATAAAGTTTTTTCAAAGTTGACCTTTTATTTATAATCAATTAACATTTATTAAAAAGTATTAGAAATTGTTTTTATAAGATTATTAAAATTATATGAATAAAAATGTTCAAGTCTTTTTTAATAAAAATGTTCAAGTCTTTTATAATAAAAATGCCGAAGGCCAATTTATTAGTAATTGTTAAAAATTATGACCCCCGGGGAGGGGTCTGAACAGGAGTATAGTTTTTTAATTTTTAATTGAGAATGTAATTCAATTGGCTAGAATAGTAAGCTTTTATCTTATCTTATCAGAGTTCGAGTCTCTGCGTTCTCATTATATATGACTATATTTATAAAAATAAATCTTATGATAAAAAGATTTACCCCGGATATTAATAAAGAATTTATTAAAAACAATTAACGCCTCGGAAGCTTTTTCTATACAATAACTCTTCAGGTTTTGTTAAAGATCTAGCCAGGGAAGTAACGGAAAATTACCTTCCAAATCTAAAGGCTTGTCATAAAACATATGTTCTATGGGCAAGATGATTATTCTCACTTGTTTGGAAAATTTCCTTTTTTCTCCGCTTTATAAAAATATAAAGCTAAGTTTATTAAAATAAACTTTGCATTACCCTGAAGGGGGTAAAGCTTATGAAGGGGAGGGAGGGAAAGAAATAATCCCGCATACGAAGCGAGTTAATAAAATTAATATTAGATCAGGACCTTCTTCTAGGATAATTTTAAACTAAAAATACCAATTTGTTTTCTCAGACAGATATATTTTTTTTAAGAATGATCATGCCGGCAGGAAAATCTCTAAGACCTTATATAGTGAAATGATAACGTTTATCGATTATTATTTTTTTTCGCAAAACCTTTCCGTCTATTCCTTTTATAGGAGCGAATTAGTAAAAAGTTATTTTTTATATAATTATATAAAGGGATTTAGCGAAATCTTTTTCTTTTTAGCGAAGCCAATATACTGGAAGCAAAGGACAAAGGATAATTATCTAAGGCTAGGATTTATATATTTTGGTTATTGATATAATTATCAATTCACCAATACCCGTAAAGGGAGCTCTAAATAAAAAAAAAATGAATAATATATTATTAGATTTATTAACATTTACTTCTGTATTATCAGCTATATTGGTAATTACAGCTCGAAGTCCTGTTATCTCCGTATTATTCTTAATTGCTGTATTTATAAATATAGCTGGTTATTTAATTTTATTAGGTGTTAACTTTATAGCATTATCATACATAATGGTATATATAGGAGCTATAGCTATTTTATTCTTATTTGTAATTATGATGCTAAATGTGCGTTTAACTGAACTTCACGAAATAGGTAGTGATTATAGCAAAAATTTCCCTTTAGCTATAGTTGTAGCTGCTTCATTAAGTTATATTATATTATCAAATTCTTTAACTAAATCAATTGATCAAATTTATTTAATCACAGCACTTTTTGATAAATTAAATTTCTTAAATTCAGGTATAAATACTACTACAGATAATTATATCAATATTGGATATAATACTATCTATAATAACATCTTTGTGAATTACGAACAAATTCAAGCTATAGGTAATATAATGTATTCTTCATATGGATTATATTTAATCTTATGTTCTTTTGTATTATTATTAGCAATGCTTGGTCCTATCATTATTACATTAGATAAAAAAATGTAATACACCCCCCATCTTTTCAAATATGTCTAATTCATAATTATTAAAATAACAGTATCGATATGTCTAATTCATAATCACTTATAATTTTTTTTTTAAGTGAGAGTTAAATTCCTCTCTTAAATTAGATTAAAGATAACTGTAAATCTCGGCTAGCAAATTTTGATTAATCTCCTTTTGCCCGAGATAATGTATATGATGATAAGTAAGGTATTTAATTAGTATTCTGAAAATAATAACAACTACCTCCCTTTTCTCCTATAAGTTTACAAAGAAAGGAAAAGATGATTCTAATAAGATTCAGTTTCCAACATTTTTGTTTATGATAAAATAGTCTGTTACCAGCCAAAAGCTTTTTATTTTATACACTTTACAGAATAATGATTAGAGACTTAAACTATTAAACTAAATTGTTTAATAATATAATAAAATTGTATTTCTAATTATTATAATAATGCAAAATAGGGTTATAAATAAAAGAGGAATCAAACTTTCTAAATAATTTGGAATCAAACTTCCTAAATAATTTGGAATCAAACTTCCTAAATAATTTGGAGTATGCGAGAAATAAATTCAAAATCTTTAACATGTCAATACTGTTATCATATTATCCAATAATTAACCTATCCAATAATTAACCTATCCAATTACCAATTACTATAAAAATTTTTACATATCTATACTCCTCTGCAGGGCGACCTTTCGGGAGTCTGAGGGTCTGTAATAATAAATAATATTATGATTCAATTCAAATAAGAGGAATTTAAAGGAGGGGGTCTAATCATTAAGCTTCTTCGTTTGTCACTCAGATGCACCCTACTAGTCAACATTGTGCTATAACTGCATAGCTATACTATCTCTCAATTGCTCAAATAAGGGAAGTCACCCCCTACCACAGCTGCTCTTCTTTCATCTGGTGTACCATTTTTTATACAAGATATTTGAATATACTTACACACGTAATTTTTATAAAAAGCCGTTAAGAGGAATCAAACCTCTATCGAGTTATTAACAGTAACTAGCTTTATCATTAAGCTATAACAGCGGGTGGAATGTTAACTGATTGTACAGTTAATAGACCTTTCCCTTTCGTAAGCTTGCGGGAGAGAAGGTATGAATACAAGAGAAATGTAATTGTCCACTCTAGAATAGTTGTAGTTTTCGTAATACCGGGACCTTTCGGAGGAATAAAGAATACTGGGACAGCCCATGGATCGTTTGTTAATTGATAAAGACCGGAGGCCAAATTATTAATTGCCACCGACGGCGTTGATAAATAAAAGCTATTTTTTTTTGTATAATTTGTTTTTATCTACATAATTAGATAATGTATGTTTACTGTAATCAAAATATTTTACTGCATCTCCCCTGCGCGACCTCTTTTCTTAAAAAGGATAAAGGTTCAGCTTCAGATTAAGTAGATATATTTAATAAAAATAGCTATAAAGAAGAAAAGGTTAATAAACAATGAATAAAAAAAATAACAGTATTGATATGTAAAATAATTTTCAAGATAATAAAGAGATTAATTGAGGATGACTAGCCAATGATTATAAAGGAGGTATAAATACCAAATATCCTAGCTAATAATTTCAAGCTTAGCTAAATCTAGGATTATCCTATGGGAAACCAAAAATTTTTAAATAAATAAACAACCTTATGAACTGAAACATCTAAGTAATAAGAGGAAAAAAAATCAACTGAGATTCTGCTAGTAGTGGTGAGCGAAAACAGATAAGCCTGCCGGCATAAAGCTGGCTATAATATATAATTTAATTATGAATAATTAATTTCTTCCCTGGTATCATATAGATGCTTTTGGGATTAATGAAATTTCTGGAAGTGAAATATACCAAAGAGGGTGATAGTCCCGTAATAATTAAATTATAATTTGTTCGTTTATCGTTTACGATGGAATTAAGAACAAATAATTATGTTTCCTTGGTTTTAACCGGGAACATGATTTATAAAAAAAAAGTAAGATGGAAGATAATCTGTCTGAATTAGGGGAACCATCCTCTAAGGCTAAATATGAATCATTGAGCGATAGTGAATAGTACCGTGAGGGAAACGTTGAAAAGCAAGTAGATAACTGGTGAAATAGATCCTGAATCAATAATCTTATAAGCAGTCGGAGTATGAAACAAATAAAATAATATGACGACGTACCTTTTGCATCATGGGTCAGCGAGTTTATAGGTAGTGCAAGTAAAAAATTAAAAATTTATCTCCTGTAAAGGGGATGGAATAATTATAATAATACTTAGTGAAAGCGATCATATATTATTGGCTTGGTTTAGACCGGCCTTTTATAATTTATGAGGAAAGTACTATATATAAGACCCGAAACCAGGTGATCTTACCATGGCCAGGTGTAAGACCGAACCAACTACTGTTGCAATAGTACTGGATGAGCTGTGGTAGGGAGTGAAAGGCTAATCTTACCTGGAGATAGCTGGTATTCTGCGAAACCTATTTAGGTAGGATCTATATTTGAATTATAGCAAGTAGTGCTCTGCTTTTAGCAATCCATTTGTTATTTATGACAAATGGGATTGCATTGAAAAATGCAATTTATATTTAATGGGGGGATTATTATGATTCTATCCACTGAAGGCAATCAAACCAATGGTTATAAATTCAAGATATAGGGTCAGACTATGGGTGCTAAGGCCGATAGTCGAATGGGGAAGAGCCCAGAATAGTAACTAAGGTCCCTAAATAAATACTAAGTGAATATAAGGTAGTGTCGTATAGAAAACATCCATTATGTAGGCTTGGAGGCAGCAATCATTTAGAGAAAGCGTAAATGCTCAATGGTCTTTTTTAATATATGATGCACCAATAATTTAACGGGTCTAAAGTATTTTACCGATGTTCTATCTGCAAAATAATATTAATAGTATACCTCTCTGATTATCAGTGTAGGTGGTTCCTAGTGAACCGTTATAAAAATTTGCTGGGTAGCAGAACATACTATAAATGGAATGAAGGGTAATTTTTAATTACCTTGACATAATAGTAGAGATTATGCTGACATGAGTAACGCAAAAGCATTAAAATATGCTTCACCGAATGCCTAAGGGTTCCATAGAAAAATTAAATTGCTATGGGTTAAACGGTCTCTAAGAATATAAGCGAAAGCTTTGATTGATGAGGAATTTATTATAAATATATTTAATAGAGAGTAAATTAATTAAGGCTCTAAAGAGTCCAAAAGAGTTTAAAGCTCTAGGAATTGATTTATTCTTTTTATTTATACAGGAAAAAATAATATAAAATATACCGTACTCTAAACCGACACTGGTAGGCAGGTAGAATATACTAAGGTGTTGAGAGAACTCTCCTGAAGGAACTAGGCAAAATAACTCTGTAATTTCGAAAGAAAGAGTGGCTATTAAATAATAATATTATTTGATGGCTGGCACATAAATGTGAGGTACGACTGTTTACTAAAAACACAGCACTTTGCCAACATAATAATGGATGTATAAAGTGTGATACCTGCTCAATGCCAAACGTATAAATTTTTTGGTTTCACGATCAAAAATCAAACATTGGTCAATAGCGGCTGTAACTATGACAGTCCTAAGGTAGCGAAATACCTAGTCGGATAATTGCCGACGTGCATGAATG